GGCCGTGGCGCAGGCCATGACGCTGCAGCTGCTGGAGCGCATGCCGGCGCCGCCCGCCGCGCGCCTGATCCGTTAGGCCTGCATCCGAACGGCTCATGGGTTTGCACGTAGTCCGTTCGGACTGCGAACGAATTCACGCCCTGGGTGGCATGTCACCTGCACTCGCAAGAATGCCGGAGGAAAACGATCTTCCGATCACCGCTCTTTGAACGCGGGTCCCCGGACCCAGGCGCCCAAGGCCACCGCCGATCGCACCAAGCGATCCAGGGGAGGCAGCCAGGCGTGACAGACCGCCGCCATGTCGGCCGCGCGTCCCATCACCACTGTCCACGGAGTAATCACATGAAGTTGAAGACCCTCGCCCTGGCCGCCCTGCTGGCCTCGTCCCTGCCGGCTTTCGCCACCGTCAAGTCCGGCCTGAACACCACCGAACTCGGCCAGTCCGAGTTCGTGCTGCTCGTCACCAACGCCGCCGGCTCCTACGCCCAGGACCTCGGCATCTCCGTCAACGACATGCACGCGCTGCTCAGCACCACCGGCAGCTTCACGCAGTCCGTGGCCGGCGCGCAGTGGAACGCCTTCCAGGCCTTCGGCGGCACGAATTCAACCTACGCCATCATCTCCGTCGCCTCGCTGGGTGACGGCTACTTCGCCGGCGAAACCAACGTCTGGACGACGGTGGCCGCCGGCCAGGTCCTGGGCACGTTCCAGAACATCCAGGTGACCGACACGTCCGGCGCCCTGGCCTTCCACTTCGCCGACATCGACAACCGCGCCGTCAACACCGGCATCGGCCAGGAAAACAACCGTGTCGCCTCGGCCTTCGGCCTGCAGAGCTACAGCGACAACATCACGGTGGCACTCAATGGCAACGGCTTCCGGACCGCGAACGCGATCGGCCAGTCGACGTCCATGGTCTACATGACGCCCGCGACCGACGTCACCGACGAGCCGGCTTCCGCCACCATCCTGACGAACACCTCGAACAGCGCCTACGTCGTCAACTTCGACGGCAACAACGTGACGTTCACCGCTGCCGTGACCGCCGTGCCGGAACCCAGCACCTACGCCATGCTGGCCGCCGGCCTGGCCGCCGTCGGCTTCGTCGCCCGCCGCCGCAAGGCCGCCTGATCCCCAGTCGGGCCTGGCCCGACTCCCCCGCACAACAACGCTGAGCCACCCCTCCCGTGGGGTGGCTCGGCGGAGCACTGTCCAACAGTTCACGAAAGCATCCTCATGAAGCTCCGTTCCTCCCTGATCGCCATCGCCTGCCTGGCCTCCGTCGGTGCCTCGCACGCGCTGAGCCCGCAGGAAATCAAGATCGCCCGCGACAACGGCACGCTGGTCGAAGTGCGCCTGTCCGGCGCGTCCGCACTGCGCCTGCTGGTCGGCAACTACATCAAGACCGACCTGGCCGACGCTGCCAGCTTCGACGTCTTCTTCGACTCCGCCACCGGCGCCAACCACCGTGCCTACTCCTTCCGCACGAAGGTGGCCATCCCCGCCGGCACGCTGGGCGGCACCGCCATCCCGGCCAACACGCCGATGCTGATCACCAAGCGTGACGCCGGTGGCTCCACCGAAGGCGTGGCCCCGCTGATCAACACCAACAATGTCGGCGCCAACCAGGCCCACATGCTGGTCGACGACATCAGCACCTGCACGGCCGCTCCGAACAGCGTCCGTCCTGCCACCGACGTTGCCAAGGCCACCTACATCTGCTCGGGCACGACGACCGGCTATGCCCACGCCGGCTTCTCGGACGTCGAACCCATCCTGCTGCAATCCACCGTGAACGGCGGTACCGGCCTGGACGTCAGCGGCCTGAACGCCGCCGGCTTCGTGCAGAACATCTTCGCCATCGCCGTCAACAAGAAGCTGTACCTGGCCCTGCAGAAGGCCCAAGGCCTGGACAACGCCGGCGCCATCGACGAGTCGGCCGCCAAGATGCCCAGCATCCCCAAGGCCTTCATCGCCGGCGCGCTGACCGGCTCCATCGCCGGCAACCTGAGCGGCAAGAACGGCTGGAACCTGCTGATCCCCAGCACCGTGGACAGCAACATCAACGCCAAGCGCGTCAACGTGTGCCGCCGCAACCAGGGCTCGGGCACGCAAGCCGCGTCCAACCTGTTCTTCGCCAACGGCGCCTGCGGCCCCGCTGCCAACCAGCACACCATCACCGCCGGCACCACCACGCTGCCGACGAGCGCGGTCGGCACCAGCACCGTCACGCAGAACAGCAGCAGCCAGGCCGTCGAGAACTGCCTGGGCACGACCGTCGAAGGTCTGGCGGACAGCACCGGCGGCGGCTACGGCTTCGGCGTGCTGGGTCGTGAGAACAACCCGCTGCCCGTCGACGCGAACGGCGTGCGCCTGAAGGACCAGAACGGCAACGACATCGACCGCGGCTACCGCTTCGTCAAGCTCAGCGGCGTGACGCCGAGCCGCGCCGGCGTCATCGCCGGCGACTACGAGTTCGTCGTCGAAGCCTCGATGCAATGGGCCAACGCCGGCGCCAACGCCCCGACGGGCGCTCCCTTCTCGATCATCCAGAAGATGCGCGCCGAAATGGGCAAGGCCTCCATCCTGAAGGACCTGGACGTCGACCTGCAGAACGGCCTCGCCGCCCTGCCCACCACCTTCACGGGTGCGTGGTCCGACCTCGACCCCACGATCAAGAGCTTCACGTCGCACACCAACCGCAAGGTGGCGAACAGCTGCTCGGCAGTCCGCATGACGAAGTAATCAGCAGTACGGCGAACTCATCGCCGTACCTGGCACGCGGCCCCGCGCCGCGTGCCACCCGCAGGGGTCGATGGCTGAAGAACTTGTTCAAGGCTTCAGCCATCGGTCTGTCAGCCATGCCCGATCAGCGGTCGGGATGTTCCAGGAAGGTTTTCATGTTCACGCAATTCCGATCCGCCGCTGCCGCCCTGGCCGTGGCGATGGCCTGTGCACCGGCCCAGGCCGCCATCAAATATGGCGACGGCAGCGCCACGCTGCGGCCTGAGCTGCTGCTGATGATCTGGGACCCGACGACGGAGGTCTCGTACACGCGGGACCTGGGCATCCTGGCCTATGCCGACAGCATCGACAAGAGCGACCCGACGAAGAACCTCTTCGTGTACGGCCAGCAGAACGAGGCCTACCAAAAGATCTTCGATCCGCTGAACAGCGACACCAACTTCCAGAAGTTCCTGACGGAGTCCAAGAACAAGACGGACATCGTCTGGGCCATCTTCGGCGGCTCGACGAACGAGGAGCTGACCCAGATCGCCGGCAACAACGCCGGCTACTTCACGGTGAAGCATGCGGCGCCGACGGGCACGCTGGACCCGGACTATGCCAAGCTCATGGCCTGGAGCAACGAGAACTTCAGCGCCGACTGGGGCCCCACCCAGTACTACCTGGCCGACCTGAACAACGGCAACTTCGGTGCCACCTCGGCCTACAACTCCCACAACACTGTCGACAACGGCTCCAGCTTCAACGTCAAGGGCGAAGCGCAGTACGTGGGCACGCTGTTCTCCAACGGCCCCAATGCAGGCGTCGGCTCCACGGCGCCAAGCTTCTTCAACAAGATCAACATGTCGTCGTGGTTCTACTACGCGACAAACTCGTCGGATGTGGGCGGGGACCCGGTGCTCGTCGACGAGTTCGACAACGGCGTCCTCGGCAACGGCCACGATGCCTACTGGGGCCTCGGCGTCGACGCCAACGGCAACTACATCCTCAGCTACACGATGGAAGCCGCGCTGACGCAGGCCCAGACGGCCGTGGGCCGCCAACTGCGCCTGCGCACCGATTTCGCCGCCAGCTATGGCCGCACACGCCTCATCGACGTGCCGGGTGACGGCCTCGATCTCGGCGGCAACGTCAGCCCCGTGCCCGAGCCATCGACCTGGGGCCTGATGGGCCTCGGCCTGGCCCTCGTGGCCGCCCGCGCACGCCGCCAGAAACGCGCCTGAAAGCCGGGCGGCAACCGCCGCCTTTCATGACCGTTTCACCCGCTCTCGGGACACTGTTTTCATGGATGCCGGACCGACACGCGCCCCCTGGTGGGCGCGTGGCCTCTTCTTGTTTGCCGTTGCTCTGGCGCTGTGTGCGCAGGGCCTGCCCGCCTGGGCGCAGCAGGCCGCGCTGCGCTTCGACATCCTCGAGTTCGAGGTCGAGGGCAACACGCGCCTGAAGGCCACGCAGGTGGAGTCCGCCGTCATGCCCTTCATGGGCGAGGGGCGCGACATGGCCGCCATCGAAGGCGCCCGCGCCGCGCTGGAGAAGGCCTACCAGGGCGCCGGCTACCTGACCGTCTTCGTCGACGTGCCCGAACAGCGCATCGACGGCGGCCTCGTGCGCCTCGTCGTGCTGGAGGGCCGCATCGACAAGCTCTACGTGACCGGCTCGCGCTACTACGACCAGGGCAACATTCGCGCCGCGGCGAGCGAACTGGCCGAGGGCCAGGTGCCCAACTTCAACGTCGTGCAACAGCAGGTCGCCGCGCTCAGCCAGACGCCCGAGCGACGCGTGCAGCCGGTGCTGCGCCCGGGCCGCGAGCCGGGCACGGTGGAGGCCGAGCTGAAGGTCAGCGACAAGCTGCCGTTGGGCGGCAGCGTCGAGATCAGCAACGCGGCCGCCGCGGGCACCGACCAGTTGCGCGCCGCCGTCAACCTGCACTACGACAACCTGTTCCAGCGCGAGCATTCGCTGTCGCTGACGGCGCTGACCGCGCCGATGCGGCCGAGCCAGTCGCAGGTGCTGGTGCTGAACTACCTGGTGCCTTTGGGCGACGGCGATTCGCTGAGCTTCAGCGCCGTCAACTCCAGCAGCGACATCGACAGCCTCGGCGGCACGCGCGTGCTGGGCAAGGGCACGACGCTGGGCCTGCGTTACGGCATCAACCGCGTCGGCGCCAACGCGGCCCACGGCCTGTCGCTGGGCTTCGACGTCAAGGACCTGAAGGAAGACGTGCACACCAGTGCCGGCACGCTCGGCTCGCCGCTGCGCTATGCGCCGCTGCAGCTGGCCTACAACGGCAACTGGTGGGGCGAGTGGGGCCAGCAACAGCTCAGCGCCAACGCCGTGTTCGGCCTGCGCCCGGTGTGGCAGCAGACGCGCGCGGACTGCCAGCT